TAGCCCCCATTGACAGCTAAGTTGGAACTCTTCTCTCCGTTTGGTCCTTTTGATCCCGACAACCGTACCCCACCATTAATTCCATTCTCATTTTTATAGTTAACACCTACAGATCCACTCTTTGTTCGTTTACCATCAGCTCCTTTCTGTGAACTCAATTCTCCACCTACACTGACTTGATCATTGATCTTATAATTGGCTTGGATACCTCTTTTACCATCTTCATTCACAAGATTAACATCCAACTTCCCTTTGGTCAATGCTTTTCCAGCTAGATTTACACCCGTGGACGCTATTTTGGTCAGTTTTTGCCCATTTTCAGAGTCGAGGAATTTGTCGACTTTTTCTTTACGAAGTGCTCTCTTCTCTGCACTCTTCTCTGCACTCTTCTTTTTCCTCTCCGCTTTCTTCTCTGCCTTTTGCTGTTTCTTAAGTTGCTTTTGTTCAGCCTTTTGAGCCTTCTTCTCTGCCTTTTGCTGCTTTTTGTCGGCTTTGGTTTGATTCTTTTGTTGCTTCTGTTGAGCTTTGGCAGCTTTCTTTTCTGCTTTTTGTTGTTTCTTCTCGGCTTTGGCTTGATTCTTAAGTTGTTTTTGTTGGTTTTTCTGAGCCTTCTTCTCTGCTTTTTGTTGTTTCTTCTGTGCTTTAGCTTGGCTTTTCTGTTTCTTTTGCTGAGCCTTGGCAGCCTTCTTCTGTGCTTTGGCAGCAGACTTTTTTTGTTTTGTTGCTGCACTTTTGGTTGACTTCTTTGGCTTAGGCGCAGCAGCTGACTTCTTTTGTTTCTTTTTTGCACTCTTTGTTGCTGATTTTTTTTTCGAAGACTTAGATTTGTCATTAAAATCCTCAGTATCGTACAAGTCCTCCATATCATATTCGTCCAAATCTATATCATCCAATTCATACTCTTCCACGTCTCCAAGAGCTAAAGAACTTGTTATCAGAAGTAGCAAGAATAAAATCATCTGTTGATAATATGCTTTTAGAGTTACTTCGGTGTCTTATGGCCGTGTTAATAGCCGAAAAACAGAAAGTACCCATAAATGGTATTATGTTATTATACTTTGAATTAGTCAAATTAACGAACTTTTTTCGTAAACTAAGCAAACTGAGCCATTTTTTCGTATAACCCTTGTTTTGCTTTAACAATCAGCTATTCCGGCGTTGATTTTGCTCTATTTATAACTTCTGCCGTTCTATTGTTTTTGTTAACCAAAAGACGTTCAACAGAGGAACAAATTGGAAAAAAACTCGTTCAAATTGTGAAAATTCATCCCCCTCCGTCTTTTTCAACAATTATTTTTTTGTCGAATTGAAACTGTTTTGCATATCTTAAATTCAATATACTAGTTTAAAGCTATAAACTGAAACCATACCAATCATTCGATTTCATTCTCTTATTCCAAAATCATCCACCTCGCTATTTCTACTTTTAGAACAGTCACTTGATAAATGGAATATAGTTTGTTTACTATCATTGTTTAATTCGATTTTTTGAAAAACAACTTGTTAGTTACTAGTTACTATTGATAAAAATACTATTTTTTATTATATTTTTTTAAAGAACGAGTACGGCAGAAGTTTCTATGCAATTACGGGTAAGAAACTTGTGTTATTCCTCATGCTTTTTAAAAAAAACACGTCCAATTTTGACTAATTTTGTTTAAATTAGTGATGATTATTATTTAGTTCTTTGTTTTTATGTTTTTTTTAAATCTTATAATTAAATCGATATATAAAAATTATTGTTTGTATAAAACCACATGAAATAAATTACTTTGGAAAACTAATTTAAAATTGTTTTAATTAAGTCTTCGCGTTGTTTTTAATGCAGGTTTTTTTACACAAAACTAGATTTATTTTAAACTCATCATTCGACAAAATTCATACCAAACTTTTCAATAAATAATAATTTCAAATTATAATCATATTTATAATTATTGATAAACGATAATTTATATTAATTATTGTCTAGTTTGATATTAATGATTTTTTTTGTTTTGGTTGAAAAATCTTTTAGTATTAGAATAGTTACTATTATTAAAAAAATCCATATTAGACTTTATTATTATTGTTTTATAAAAAAATAGTTTTTTTTGAAATATACAATTTGCAACAAATTTCTTTTTGATTTTGAGGTTAAAATACCACCTAGAGTTAGTCGGAAAACATTGTCCCGTCGCCAACGTTGTCCCAGGCTTTTTGGTCAATGGAAATTGGAAAATATCGGGATCATGTTCGATATATAAAAAAATCAATTTTTATCCCAAATTGAAAAATTTTCAAACAATTATTTGTATATAAATTGATAAAAAGGACATTGGCGACTGGAACGTTTTACAACAAATTCTAGTTATAATATAGAGTATTCATAACAAAATAGAACTCAAAAATAAATCATAAAATTTACGAAACAAAGAGCATACAATATTAAAACTTCCATGGAATCGCATTCTGAAAATCCCACTGTACAAAACCGTTGTTGTCCTGTTGTTGCTGTTGTTGTGGGGCTGTGTCTTCGTTCGACTTTTGTTGTCCCCACTGACTCATCTGGCTTTGTTGTGCCTGTTGCATTGTGGTTTGTGCGTTTTGTTGTGAATTTGCTTGAGTCATTCCAACAGCAAACGGCATCAAAAACGGATTGTTCTGATCATTCGTTTGTTGTGTCTGTGTGTTGTTTTGTTGTGACATCATCGACAGAAAGTTGGCTTGATTAAACATCATACTATATGAATTCATAGAGGGCATTATCGTCTCTGCCATTCGATATAACTTTACTTCTAGTGTGTCCTCTCGAAGTTTTAGTTGGTATAACAACTCTTTCAATGTCCCAATTTGCGTTTGGGTCTCTGTGTTTTGCTTTTGAAGTCCAACCAATTGTGCTAAGAGGTATTGGTACAACGAAGTAGTGTCGTCTCCGCCCGTTTTCTTTCTGTGTGGTGTTGGCTTCTTTCTTTGGATATTAGGTAGGAGCTCTGGGTGGTCTGCGATGAAACTGTCATGTCTGAAACAAAACCCAGTTGGAGTTTCAAGCTACTTTGTCAATTTCATTCATAATATATAATATAAATCAAACCCAATGTTGGGTATTTCAAAATTTATTTTTTAAAACAAAATGCGAATTCTAATAATAGAAATTTTCGTATAAAAAATAATTCTTTGATTTTTGATTCCTTTCAAATCAGAGAAACGAAACAAACTTTCTTAAAGCCGTAGATGTTGAGTTGACGCACAAAAGAACATATGTTTGAGTGTTTAAAGAATTGTGGGAGTATTTGTTTTGAAAACTCAACAGGATCAGGAATGAATATAGCTCGTCGTTTGAACTGTTCGCTCCAACAAATCTTGAGTTCAGTATGACTTTAATGTAACAAGAAAATAAAAGGGATAAAAACAAACATATTTCTGTGTGTCTTTGTTATTGACAAGTTCAAATAATTTTGCTATGAAAGAAACAACAGAAGTCCCCGGTGGTGGCATATCCACCTGAGCCTCGTCCTCGAAAGGGATTTTCTCAATCTGAATCCCAGCTAGTGTGGCATCAGAGATGCAGCCAAAGCCGTCTTGTTGCTCAGTCATATTTGTCAATTGAATTATTAAATTGGAGTTTTTTTATTAAGAAAGACAAACTATATCGAACTATACTTTATAGTTTTTGTTCATTAGCTTCGAAGATCTAAGAAGTGCTGCACTGTGAAGAATGTCCTCATCGACACACGAAAATTTGGTTGAGGCAATCAAAGAGTTGACACGTTGCGGGGACGCTCTTCCCCCCGCCAACGCCGAGTTGATTAAACAAGTGAAAGCGGAGCTTACAGGCTTTGTGGAATCGAGCGTGGTCAACCCACGTATGGTTTATGCACTTGCCCAACGTGAGCGCCTTCACTCTCTTTTTTCCCTTTATGTGTTTGTTCTTTCCCAAAAAGTGAATCTCGATACATCTATGACAAAATGACAACAATCACAAGTTTGGAGAAAAACAAAAAGAGATAAAGTGACAACAAGGACGGAACGGTTACGGCGAATAGAAAAGATTCGGTGGGACATAGGTACCACCATTCCTCTCTCTGTTTCTGTTAACATGACTTCCGAGGAAAAGTCTTATTTTAAGAAGTTCTCTTCTATAATTGGCGACTTTTCCGAGTTTATAGAGGTTGATGTTACTACTGATACCAACCATCCCCCTGTCGAAAGTACGGTCCGCGTCAAGGCAACCATCACCGACGGTATGAAAAAATTACCACAAGCGCCCGGTATCTATTCAATGAATGGCTTCTTCACTCTCAACCATGACCAAGTCCAACTCGTTGAGAGAACGCCCACCATCGACGCTTTGATCCACATTGGGGTCTTGACTCCTGATGTTGAATAATAAAATGTTATAGTTATTTTACTATAATTATACAATTTCATTTTACTAACAAGAAATAGTATAAATACCATATATAAGTGTTTAATCCGAACACCTTTTTAATAATTAAAATATTAAAAAAATACTATTGACAGTGTGTGTTTGAAATCGAACGATCTGGTAATTCGTAATGAACAAAATCATCAAGAAGAAAGTCCTCCTGATGGGGAAGGGCGGCGCGGGGAAGACCTCGATGCGGACAATCCTATTTTCGAATTACCTCCGTTTGAGCCTTCCACTTTTTTGCGTAACTTTACAACGATAATAAAACAACTATATTGAAATGGTTTATTCATGACTAGTAAAAATGATGGTTTAATAAATACGTACGAACACTTACAGACAGCTGCCCAAACGCAACAGTTGACGGTGACTATCGGGGTCGACCACTCTCAAATATCGTTTCTAGGGAATTACACGTTAAATTTATGGGATTGTGGTGGACAGAAACTGTTTATGGATGCCTTTTTGAACACGCAAAAGTCGTCGAATTTCAAGAGTGTCGAGGCATTGATATACGTCTTTGACGTGACATCGGAAACGTTTGATAAAGACATCCAAGAATATCGCGCGGTCTTAGAGAAGCTGTATGAATACTCACCGAATGCGAAATTGTTTTCTTTAGTCCATAAGATGGACGCATTTGCGGACGATGAGAAGGACTATCACTACTTACAAATGGAAGGGAAGATCAAATTAGTGTCGAAGCCATTCCACGTCGTGTGCTTTGGGACATCCATTTACGACGATACATTATACTTTGCTTGGTCGTCGATTACGTACTCGTTGATTCCAATGATCAACGAAGTCGAGACGAAGTTGAATCAGTTTTGTAACTTCATAGAAGCCGACGAAATAGTTGTGTACGAGGCGTCAAGTCTCTTGGTGATGAGTTACTCGTCACGCGTCGAATTTAGTGAGTCCAGAAGATTTGAAAACGTGTCGACAAGCATTAAAAGCTTCGATCATAGTTGCGCGGAACTGAAGAAAACAAAATTCAAGAATTTCCAAGTGTGTCTCCCTGATAAGAAAATATACTTCGACTCATTCACATCAAGCACATACATCATGGTCATCTTCTCTAATAAAGCACTCACGTTCGCTAATGTCGCTTTGAATGTGAACGCCGTGAGAGACGAATTTGAAAACTTGATCGGGTTTAAAGGCGATGACGACTGCTGAGGGTGTGTGTTCAAATAGAGTGGCTCGTCAATTTATCGGTTTATTGTCATGTTATATTGAGACTCGAATGTCTATCTCTTGAGCATCTAGGTAGATATATTTATAGTATATTATAATTAAATTAATAGTAACTTGATGCCATTTGTGAAACGGTATATAACCGATGTGTATCATTGAAACTTACAATTAATTGGATTTTGATGGACTACAGTCGTCTTCTTAGCTTTACAATCGAGCCACTTCATCACAACGATATCTCTGGGAAGAATTTGTTGGACGAAGTCGAGATCACTGTTCTTTTCAAAGTGCTTATAATGTGTTTCGACAATCTTATCGATCGTTCGCGGGTTCATGAAAACGTTAAGCCAATAGAAACCATAGTGGTAATGCACTTGGGTCTTTGGATCAAATATCTTTTCCATCTCCAAGAAGTAATTCTCCTTCTTGGCTGTACCACAATTCAATCTGACAAGGAACGACCGTGGGTGGAACGGGGATTGAGTGGCTTGGACACGGCTTTCAACAGTTGTCAAAGCTTCTTGTAAGACTCTTTATAAATCGTATTAAATAATTAAATTATAATAAAAGTATAATATACATTCATAGTATATACGAAACTAATTATGAACCATATATATACTATATATTAGTACAAATGACAAACAGTCGAATCGTTGAATGGCGAGTGTAGTGTAAATGATCTGCTTAGAGTCTACAAAGCTGGACTGGCCTTCCGGCCCAACAATTAATTTTCTTTTGACCAAAGCGTTGAGTACGATTTTAGCGTGATCTCTATTGACGACATTTGTGTTGTTAGACATCCACGTAGCAAGAGTAGTCCCGGAGACTTTTCCGTGAATTTCTTTGTTAAGAGCTTTGAGGAGATTTTCGATGTCGAAGTAGTCGATGTTGTCTTTCTTTTGTTCTTCGTGTTTGAAGTGGATGGGGAACCATTCGACCATATATTCACTTTGGCTTAAAATGAAGTCATAGAACTGCAAGAAAGCGTAGTAGATGTCATCTTCTTGTTCTTTAGAAAAGATGTGGAAGATCAAAGAATGGAACTTGCCGACATTCTCGTCGTCTGTATTTAACGAATTGAAAGAGTCGTAGACCTTCCACTCCATTCGACTTTGTGGTTGCAAGTTAATACATCTTTTTGACGAATTGTATATCTTTGGATTGAATTCCAAAGGGTTCAAAGGAGGAGTGATGATAGCTACAAACTCGTAAGGGTATGGAAACAGTTTAGTGTTGGCATATACCTTGTGCTGAATTTGCACGTCGACGCCATTTTCCTTTAAGGACAACATATGGATAGCGTCTGGAGCATATAAAACAGTGCTAGTATCTGAAGTAGTGTCTGAATTGAATTGGAACCCTAAAGCTATTCTATTTGCGATCATCATCGAAAAGAGTTGTTTAGGTAATATCCCATTATTTGGTGTTATAGTGTAATTCGTCGTTTCAAACTTATGAAACGGCTTTGTCGGGACGTCTGAGATATATTTCACTGCACAACTTAATTTGACTAAATTGTCCCAAGGGCTTTCTCTTTCTTTTTTAAAAGATTCAGTGATACAATACGCTAAAGAATGTTCCTTAGGTATTTGGTCGACTCTTAAAGGGGAGACGCCACTGACTGGTAACAAGCTTTGTTTAATAAGAGATGTCTCTAAAGGCGTTTCTTCATCATTTGGGATCAAATAATTTTGTATGACATTTGACTTCTTCTTTGTTGCAGTCACAAAGAAATAGTCCGAGTCCTTCGAGAAGTTGTAAGTTAAGCAGTTCTTACATGAGTGTGCTCGACTCAACTTCGACATGTCAAACATGAAGCTTTGGTAGAATCTCAGTGACACCCAAAACGGGATACTAAAAGCCTTCTTAGCGTCTTGATCTGTGAATAAGACTAATGGTGTAGTAAATAGTGGTTTAACTGCTAATGACACAAATTGGACATTCACATAATTCTTCAGCACTATTTTCTTACACATCGAATAGATCAAACAACTTGTTCGTAACACCCCATTTCCCGGTGTTATGACTAACATGGTTTCTGAACTGCCGCCTCGAAAATGGGCGCCAAAGTGGTGGAGTGTAGTTACTATACTTTCAAAAACATTAGCATTTTTACTAGAAACTATAGTATTCTCACTTTGGGCTTTAACTATACTTTTCCATTCTTTAAAGTATTGTTTCAGTCGAAATTGGAGCAAAGTAAAGGGAAATATATCGGCAAATGAAATGACATGAATGTAATCCGTGTCTTTCTGTTTACTGTTCGCCGACGGCGATAAACAGCGAAACGTTGGTGTTGCTGATGTCGACGAAAATTGATTTGCAGCAACTCGGGAAAATAAGACGATTTCAATGGTGTGCTTTGTCTTCACGTCTCTGAAATGTTGATATAACTCGGCTAAAAAGTCCAGACATTTATCAAAGTATAACTCACCATCCGGATGCGAATTCCACATCTCCGCTGACATGTCTATCAAGATGAAAAGTGTTCCGGATGTACTATAAACCGTCGTATTCATAAGATCTAATTGGATCTCTTTTTTTCACCTTTTTCTTTCTTTAGACGAAAAGGGTTTTTTGCTTCTAATCAAATCTTAGGCATCTTAACTCACATTTTCCATTTTTTTTGTTAAAGATACTACTCCACTAATAAATGCTTGAAATAACTCCATTATTTCTCTTTAAAAATTCAAAAAAGATTTTTTTTTTCAATTTTGATGCGTCAAAAAAAATTGTTTATTATAATAAATAATATAGTTTATTATAATACTATTGAAACATCAAAAAAAAACTACAGAATATAATATATTTACTATAAAAAAGCCATTTTAATTCAGTTTTTTTGTTTTTCAATTGGAGAGTGCTCTGATCGAATTTTTAGACATTTAACTATACTATATATAGTATAAATTCTTACTTATACTATAATTAGATAATAACTTGTCCAATCAATTACTCTTCCTCAACAAAATTCAATGTTTCGGCCATCTGTGTGAGTGTGAGCGATGGAGCGTCATCCTCGATTTTTGTGAGCATGACTCGAGTCACTCTGAAGTTGCCTGTGCCTGTAGAATAGGAGACAAGATTATAGTAATTTGCGATGCAGTGACATAAGAGTCTATCGAAGCCATTATCCAATTGAATTTCCAACGCTCCTTCCTTATTTGTTGTGATGAAACTTTGAACGACGTCGTCGATCTTTTTGACAAATGGGTTTTGAGAGAACAACACGGGTTGGACCTTAGTTAAAACTCTTCGAATTGCTTTAATGTTATTTGGGTCAGACTTCTTGGGTAATGCCTTATACACCGTTTGATTGATGGAATACATTTTAACGGCGGGTTCATTCGCGTTTTCTTCAGGCTTCTGCATCTCTTCAAGTCGAATCAACTCCAGTGCCGGATCGACTCCGTTTTGAATACACTCGTTCACAAAATCACCAAACATGTCCTGACGGAACTGGTCTTGCTGAAACGCAATCACCGAAATTTCTTTCGCGTGCGCGTAAGAGTCTATGTGCCCGTTTTCATCCATCAAAGAACCAAACAATTCGTTTCTGACCGACCCCTTCATTTGTTTTCGCAGTTTTCGTTTGTTTTAACTATAAATTAACTAGTTGTTGTATAGTTTTTTGTATAGTTAATTTACTATATTTCATAATTACCAAAGTTAAACTTCATTCTTAAAAAAACCATATTTATTAATTGTTTTTTACTAATAGTATAAAAGATGGTTAATTGGTTAAAGTGTTTATTAATAAAATATTGTTTCATAATAGTAAATACGAGAAATACTATTGTAATACTATAAAATAACTATACTAAACAACACAGTCTAAAAAGACCAAAGGAACGATCTATCGGCGAGCCCAGCAACAGTAGAGCTGTATCTTAAATCGTTGAAGCTGCACATCCGCCCAACTGTACCACATGAGAGCATGAGGGACGTGTGGATGTTAACGATCTGTTCGCGCGCAACTTTAAATATCCCGATCGATTTTTCATGTTTAGTGTGAAGGCTAATTAGGGTTATTTGAGGCTTAACGAGATTTCCAAAATACTCAGTGTACGTATTCTGAACAACATCAATAATTGCTTCCTTTGAAGTGAATGTCGCACCGTCCTTTTTAAACACAAAACTGATGTACTCTGCGTCGTCCATCGACTTCTGAGGTTTTTTGTTCGTGTTTTGGTATACTATAATTTTAATACTAAAATATAATTAAAAATATTACTCTGTTACACACAAAACAATTTGAATTATTGAGGTTCAACAGCCTTGGCTGAAACAGACGCACTTCTGTTCTTCTTAACCGAAAGTACGCTGAATGTCAGAGGCGCTATGGTCTTAGGTTTTAAGTTCGTTTGGACGTTTTGAGAAAAAGACCTTTTCAGCTCTTTTGGTGGTGGAGCGCATTGCTCTTTTAAAGTCTGTTCGTCGGGAACCTGAATTTTGAGCTCTAATGTAGACACTGATACGTCCTTTGGATTTGTCATAAATCGGATGGCATGTCTCATCGCCTTTTTAGAATTTTGTTGTGGGCTTTTAACTTCGATTGGAGATATACAGACTTGGTGGTCATTGTCCGCGTTCTCCGTATTATCCGGTTTTAAATCTTCTGTCGTTCCGAACGTCTCAATCTTGAGAGAACTTGGATTTTTTTCTTGGTGAATAGGTTTGAGATCGGTGACGTCAGAAATGTCAATTTTAGTATGAACAATCTCAAAACCTTTCTCAATTTTCGTGGGTTTTATACACTCACTTTTGGTTCTCTCTCTTTCCGGGATTGAAGTGACAGAACAACACGGCTGAAAAGCGTCGATTTCGCTGGAAATCATATCCAACCCGACAAACCCATTTGAAGCTTCGTTCTGTGGAAGCTCAGCAGAGAACGGACGGCCGTTTGCTCCATTTTCCGGAGATGGCGTGTGGGGCACCATAAAACACACTGGTGGGGTCTTACGACTTTTAGCACTCCTCTCCTTCTCAATTAAGGCAAACAAACGATCGCCAATTTCTGGGGATAAACCAAGGCCATCAATGTCATATTTTTCAATGTACATCAAGTCGTCGTAACACATGTATCCACACGTTACAAGGTGTTCAGTTAAATCGTCCAAATTGTCTTTCTTTAAGAAGTGGCGCACAGTTTCAATTGGATCTGTGAAGAGTTCGACAGGTTTGTGCTTCTCAAGCTCGGCACCAGTGAACAAGTCTTTGTATTCGGGGAATAACGTGATGATGAATTTGTTCAAACGGTAACACATCTCGTCCAGACGTTCATCTTCAAAGTCGAGAGTGTCTGACTTCAAAAAATGGACCCCTCGTGTAAATTGGAAACTGCTCGAGAGTTTGACCAAGTCGACTTGGTTGTTGCATGCGGTTGACGAGATGAAAATTATCGGAGTTGTGATTTTCTTCACTTGCTGTAGTGTGACGCACGAAAAGCACAACGAACTATTCTGTATTTGGGGATTCTGCACGTCACTCGGTATTTTCAAGTAAACCAAACTAAATTCAAATGAAACTTTTAAAGAAACAAACGATGAGGATGATACCCGCCAATCTTTCTTGAACAATATCAGATCCGGTTTTGAGTTGCTTCTGTATTTTATACGCCAAATATAGTGTTGGTCCACAACCAGCGCCTTTGCCGTATAGGATCACTCTATTGGGTGATTGTCCCAGTTTCTTTGTAATGAACCTCCAGACATATTCGATATGAGACGCTGTTTTTTGGTCGGAATACGTCGATCCTTTTGTGTAACCTGGGTACTCCCACACGATGATGTTTGCTTTGAAAATCTCGGCGAGGACAGAGATCCAGTCTTTTATTTGAGGAAGCGATTCGTTTGCGTCGTGGTTGTAGAGAATGGTGATTGGCTGAACACTGTTTGTTATTGGTTATTGCTGAAAACGGTTAAACTGATAATTAATAAGTGGAACATTTTGAGATGTAACGTTGAGTTGAACAAACACCGTGGTTTTTGTCTGGATATATAAAATGGGGATGTTCTTGAAATCGATTTTTTGTAAATCAGCGAGCGGTTTTTCATTTGGAAACAAGGACCTCCGCTGCTTTGCACCCTGCTTCAAAGAAATAGTATTGGCGAGCGGAGCACTCATTTATGGACTGAGTTATGTTTTACGCGATGTGAAAAAACAAATATTTTTGTTCAATTTTTTTGTTTTCAAAACAAATCCTTTTCTTTGATTTCTTGTATTATTGGTATAGACTTAAAGCTTTCTTAACATTACTATAAAGATTTTTGGTAAGATAACGACTTCTTTGTCCAATTATCGTTATTGTTGTTCCAAAAATTGATATTCAATTTAACAATTCTTTCAAATGGTTTAAATGGTTGATATAAATTGCTGTGTGCGTCAAAAAGAAAATTTGACCAATAACAAGTAAAATTTTTAATTCAAACATTCACGAACCAGTTTTGGGCATCCTCAAACTTCCCAAAAATACATAAAATAGTTCGTTATACAAATATTTAACTAATAAATAGTAATATATAATTTTTTTTGTGTACTAATAAATCAAGAATGGTTTTTTTATTTAAGCACTTAAAATAACTTTGAAAAAATTTCAAAAGGTCTGAAAAATCGGGAAATCTTGATTATAATTTTTTCTTTTCCTGTTTTTTAGAAGTTTATATGTAGAATATCATTACACAGTTGAAAAACGAAAAAACATTAAAGAATGTACAGTCTGATACACTTAATAAAAAACATTATAATAATTTAAATACTATAATAATATAAAATGTACTATAACATTGGTTTCACTCGATTATAAAATAATGGATAAAATTTACTACAGTATGTGAGAATGAGAAAACACTGTGGATTCAACAAAAGTTACAATTGTGTAACTTTTATGTAATAAAATTATTATTTTTTTATTTCAAAAAATTCAAAAGATCAAATAAAAAAATCACTTATTTACAGTTCATTTTCTCTTTCAATTTGTTTGAAAACCTACAAAGCAGCTTTCAGAGTGTGAACAGCCAGCCAGCACTTATCAACTAACTGACTCAGACCTCACGATAAAGAATCCCAGGTATATCGGACATATCAGCCATAGCAACCAGACGATTCAAAGCAGGCAACGTTTAATTTAAGAGTTTTCGCGAGCAAGTTCTACAAGTTAATATCTCAATAACGAAAGAACGTTTAACAAACGAATATCTTCTATTGGAAGGACTTATGACAGTTCAGACATGTATTGATCCAATCAGTGACCATTTTGACCCAGTGATAGGAAACAGTAATGTAAACTCGGCAATACAACTGATTAAAAAAGATAAAAATCAATCGATTAAATTCTCAACCCCATTTTTAGTTCTTTTTGAGATTTTTTGGTCGTCTTTTTCTTCACAACTTTACATACAACATCCCGTTCTTTTTTTTGATCGGCTTGCAAACAGACTGACAAAAATAACCCTCAAAACACCTTGGAAGCTTTCGAACTGCAGATATTTTCAAGCTTTTGGTTTTGACGCATTCAATCGAGTATAACTGTGGTATACTTAACAGTCTCGGTATTTCTGCTGTGACTCTGCGTGACACTCCAATATCCACATACACAACCCACATACCACCATCAACAATTCTGAAATCAATACCAACTTGCCTAAAAGCCTGCGTGCACACATCCAGAATAGTTGTTTGGAAATAAGACTTCAGAATTGAGTTGAGGTATTTGGCAACCTTTTGATCCAAGTCCTCTCCATCACCAAATTCAACAGTTTTAGTTTCATTTGGTATTTCGTTGCGATCTTCTGATTGGTTGTCATCCACCATCCTTTCGTTGACAGTCGTAACAGCCTTCTTTTTAAATGGTGATATTGCCTCTTGTGGATTTGCCAGCACTTCCTGAAACATATACTCCACTGTTGAGGTATTATTGGTTCTTCAATGGGATCTTGGCTTCCAATCACATCATTTGATTCTTCTTTTTTTCAACGTCTTCACTTTCTGTCGTTGTTGTTTCTTTTTCGCCAACTCTATCTTTAATTTTTATGACTTCTCTGAACTTCGCATACAACGAATTCAGTCTTCTTTTTGGGCTGCGAACACCCCAACATCTAATGGTTGTGTTAAATGTGAGGTGTGAAGCACCAAACATACGATTTCACAGTTCACATTGATGATTTTCTCATTGACTTGGACATTCGACTTGAGCAGCAACCTCACATCTTCGATTGAGTGGCACGTGCACTGATCAAATATCAGCACGGCCTTATCAATATAACCAGTCTTAATTCTCATGTCCACAATATAAGGTACTACAACGTCGTTGATGTATTGTATAAATAAGTCACTGTTGATAAAACCGTTTTTGCTATAACTGACGATGTTTCCCGTTTCCATCCAACCCAATTTCAAGAATTCAACTGCAACTCTTTTGTATTTTGTTACAATCATACAAGGAAGAGGTTGTGAGGGGGTTATAATGCAAACGACAGTGGATCGAGCAATGTCACGTTCGACTCCATATTTCATTTTACTGTCTGTGGAAAAACCAGCAGTAAATCCTCCCTTCACCATTTGCCTGTCTGGCCATGGCTGATACCCCGACTCATCCAAATTCAAAATAAATTGTGATGGGATGCCATTTAAAAAAAAGTGGCAGCGCAATGTAATACTTCAACACGGCATCTTCGTCGTAGGTCAATCGAGATTGGTCTTCAGCAAACACAGTAACAATCGAAAAGTTCCAATTTTTGTGTATTTTATCATAAATAACGTGGTTTGACACATCAACGTTGAAGGTTTTTATTATAAACAACTTCAAATAAGTTATGCTGATAGCTTTGCATTTTCCTGGAAACTTTTCATTATCAAGAATCAAATTCTTGACAATTCCCCATTGTGTTTCAGTTAAAAATGACGGTCGTCCGTTATCTTTTTTTCCAAACAATGCCGTCTCCATACCTCTTCGTTTGTTGATATTAAACTGACTTGAAGATAAAGCAAAGACTCTACATAGTTTACTCTCGGTCACCTTTTCCGTATTCATTCCATTGAACATTTCTCTCTCAATGTTCATCAAATACACCTGAACATTCAGGGGTAATTCAGAAAAGTTGCAATGTTTGCTGAATGTTCTTTGGGCTATTTCTTTCACTGGGCCAGGACAATACTTTAGATTCTCTTCCAGTGTTGTATAATCCAAGCCACTAAAAGCAACATTCCTGGAGCTCATAATTATATTATTTAGATTGTTTTTTTAAAGAAAAACATTTTTATTTAAAAAAAGAAAAACAAATATGTAACTTTTATTGAATCCACAGGGTTTTCTCATTCTCACATACTGTATAAAAGAAATACAATAATAATTTTTATTAATTAAATTATTATAAAATTATTATAAAATTATTATAAAATTATTATAAAATTATTATAAAATAACATAACTAACTATTGTATTTGTATTTTTAAATAAATTAATTTTTATTGTTTAAATTTATATTAAATAATGGAAAAGATAAGTAATAAAAATGTAATTTTACTATATAAATAAAATAATTTCAAATTACTTTTACTAATTTATAGATCTTCAAACAATTTAATAATAACATACCATATTAAATATAATAAATATAATTCAACCAATCGATTTTTGCCGTTCATATTAAAAAACAACAAAAAAATATTTTTGCGTTTTCTAAAAATAAATTGAAGTAACAAAAAATCATATAAAAATTATATTATAACTATAAATAACAACATGAAAAGATAACAATTCAAATTATTAGAAAAAAAATAACTACGGCAATATGAACTAAATATAACACTCAAGAACATAGAAAAAGAAAAAAAATTGTATAGTTTAATTTGAAGTTCCAAATAGATGTCGAAGAAGAATGTGTTATCTTCTGATGATCGTGTTGTAAAACAGTCCATCCCATGTTAGATCAACTTCTGACGTACGACCAATTTGTCGACATGAAGGTATATTATGTCAACGTATTACC